TTCGTTAACGGAACCTATAGACACACACACACACACACACACACATATATATATATATATCTATATATATATATATATATAAATATATATATATATATAGGGCCTACATGTATCCTACCTAAAAAAAGAGAAAATATCGGAGTGGGATCAAGGTAGTCAAAATTAATGGATCCGGCTACGCATCGCCGCTTTCGTTAACGGGTCCCCTTAAACTAAATTAACGTTATGCGGATATCATTTGTGGTCGTTGATTTGAGTCAAACTGAAGAATAAAGGTTATAAACAGATCGTCCATTCAATTTTCTTTCATTTGATAATACATTTTGTCGTACAAACTTTACAATAATATTTTAAATATTTTTTCATAAACCCAACCTCTCACTTCTGGTAGCCGGGTACCAATAGTCGCAGCCTTTTAACAATTGTCCAAGTAATAGTAGTATGTCTTTTGTTAAATTATATTTTAATTCACTGTATATATTAAAACAATATCAGTTTTCACATTTTATTTTAATTAATTGTTGTGCAAACAATATCAATTTAAAATTTTATTTTAACAAATTTCTATTATTAAACACAAATCCGGCAACAACAATGGATATTAACTCTTGAGTTGTTTACTGTGCTCTGTTCCTTGTGATATTTTCCTTTGTCCTGTGTGCTGAGGAAGGCTCTATGCCGAAACATTCTAATCTTATTGTCCTGTCCTTAAATTCACGCGTCCACAGACCTCGTTTGGCTATGTCATTTACTTAGCTTGAATGCAGTCCTTGAATTATTGTAGTACGAAATAGACCACTGATAGGTACAGGCAGTTGCCGGATCCCGGAATAGAGATGAAGTTGTGCGCATGAAGTTCGCTGTGTGACAGAGGAACACAAACCAAAACAACAATGTATCATAGTCTCACCCCCCCCCCTTCCCCCCCCCCCCCCCAAAAAAAACCCNNTTACTTGAGTTCAGGCGTCAAGCATGAAACTCGCTGCGTGACAGATTTTTTCACTCAGACTTTTTTTTTGTACTCGGTACAATTAATGTGAAATAGAGTTGGGGGGGGGGGTGGAAGGCCGGTTTTGAAGAGGATGCAGGACACACCAGAAGCAAAATGTTTATAAGAGAAGTAATTCAAAACGCTATAAAATAGTTTGTGATAAAATTATATTTAAAGAAAATACCCCATAGCCTGCTATTATTTTGGGGACATAGTGCAACATGAGCAAGCTACTAGAATGATGACGAAAGAGAGACAACAGAGCTATATTTCAGAGCAGTAAACAGATGATTTTGTCGCCCTTTTTCTGTGTGAATGGCATGATATTTCATTCTTTGATTCACATCTGAAGATGTCACCCGGGGAGAGCGCCTCTTTTGGCCCAGATGTATGGATGGTAGGCCTATGAAATCACAATTATAGCCGTAGAGCAGTGGTTCTTAACCTTTTTGGGGGTACTGAACCCCACCAGTTTCATATGGACATTCACCGAACCCTTCTAAATAGGAAAAATAAAATATGATTTTTTTTCCGATTTTTTTTGGGACCTCCACCGAACCCCTGAGACTGACTCACCGAACCCCTGGGGTTCGAGCGAACCCAGGCTAAGAACCACTGCCATAGAGTCTATGTGTATTTCTAGTTCAGTATCCTTGCTTTATAGGACCGGGTGATGGGTGCTGCGTGGCCGGGCGGTCAAAACTGTCTCAAACCAAATAGCTGGTGTTCTGGAGTTCAATCCCTACCAAAGCGCCAACATCTCTAGCACCCGGGTGGATGGGACTCGTTAGCCTTGGACGGCAACCCATCTCAGAGAAGGCAAACTCTGAATTTAAACCAGGAGCCAGAATGATCAACAAATGACCCTCAAATATAAGAGGAGAGGAAGAAAAGGTCCAACGAAGAAAAGTATGTTTCTATTTTAAGCTATTGTAATATTATTGGCATCTGAGCAAATTGAGGTCTGCCTTTTCGTAAAGGTTAAAGAAACGTATTTCGTTGTAGTGAAAACACAACGACCCACCAGAACACAACGACCCACTGGAACACAACGACCCACCGGAACGCAACGACCCACCAGAAAACAACAAGCCCACCGGAACACAACGACCAACCGGAACGCAACGACCCACCGGAACACAACAAACCACCGGAACACAACGACGCACCCAGTAGCTAGTGTTAGTGTCCCCTTCAGATTTGCATGCTATCACAGGGAAGGAACTATATGAATCTGGCGACATATTTGACAACATTCTGACTAAGCGCCAAACGCTGTACTTCTGCGTCACAGTTGCTCTAATGTTTTCCTGCAGAGAAGTATCGCTCTAGCGTGTCTCGTTGGTGTGTTTGCCCATCTAGTAAGCGGTAAGTCGCGGGACAAATTTACATTGTCTAAAAATAAGCTTTAAGAATGTGCATGGAGCAAATTGTGTTTGGGTCGGTGAGCGCATTCATATGTTAGAGCAGGCGTCTTTAGTACGTACTATTCCCTTCTTTAAACAATAAAGACATAAAATTAAAAAGTCCAATATAAACATACATTTAATTGCATGTCAATATTTTTTCGGTTGTAAAATATATACAACTTTCACTCTCCCTTGGTGATAACCAAACTTACAGTACTTAACCGTGGGTGGCCTTTTTTAAATGATATACAGTACTTAACCGTGGGTGGCCTTTTTTAAATTGTGTACAGTACTTAACCGTGGGTGGCCTTTTAAATTGTGTACAGTATTTAACCATGGATGGCCTTTTAAATTGTGTACAGTACTTAACCGTGGGTGGCCTTTTAAATTGTGTACAGTACTTAACCGTGGGTGGCCTTTTAATTTATTTTTTAATATTTAAGGTGATGGTTGACGCCGGCATTTACACGCCCCCCTCCCCCCCCCCCAGTTCACACCGCCACGAAAATGGCAATGGAATCTATATAGAATCTAGGAGGATAGATTGGAAAAAAGGGGGGGGGGAAAAATTATGGATCTCAAAGTTGTGATGTAGAAAACGAACAAAAAAAAAATAATGTATGTTATATTGCGTGGCACTGGAAAGAATTTTCCAAAAGGCTCAAAGCGGTTTGGCTGTTTTGTAATTTACCTCTAATTGTGTAATGTACTTAACCGTGGGTGGCCTTTTAATTTATTTTTTAAAATTTAAGGTGATGGTTGCCGCCGGCATTTACACGCCCCCCTCCCCCCCCCCCAGTTCACACCGCCACGAAAATGGCAATGGAATCTATATAGAATCTAGGAGGATAGATTGGAAAAAAGGGGGGGGGGAATAATTATGGATCTCAAAGTTGTGATGTAGAAAACGAACAAATAAACAATAATGTATGTTATATTGCGTGGCACTGGCAAGAATTTTCCAAAAGGCTCACAGCGGTTTGGCTGTTTTGTAATTTACCTCTGTGCACCACAGCCTTTTTTTTTTTACTCATCGGAAACTCGGGGGGGGGGGGGTCATTAGTTTTATGCGCAGTTATAAAAAATCACACACTATTATAAACCGACTAAACAGTTTGACAGAAAAAAAATGTTTAATTCAAACGTCAGACTTAATTAATTGTACAATCGTAACAAGTAGCCTGTATCATTTTAAAAAGTATTTTTCAGCTAAGCAATACCATGAAAACCTCCGGCCTATGGCCTTACACAAAGTTACAAATAGAGCAAGTCATATAATTTATTCAAATATTCTAAAATAATATAATGTAGAATACATCATCAAAGATGTGTTTTTACAACGTAAAACACGAAGCCGAAATGGAAGACCTCGTATATTGGTTTACTATCCAGATTAGGTATTGGGAAATCTTATTGTTCTCGCTTCCTTAATTTTTTTATAGGAAAATAATAATAATAATTGAAAGCCTAGTAGTAATACGATTCAATTAAAACAAGAATACATATATTTCCAATGTCCCAAGCAGTCCTCTAAGTCTATGGAGAGTGGAAATAACTTTTAAACAAAAAACAAAAACAAAAAAAAAATCAGTGAACGGAATCTGTTCTTTTTTTTTCAGGACCTCAGCTAACATCAAGCTTGCGCACCAAACAAAGTAGCACCGATTGCTCCAAAAGGTGAGGATCATGTCATTGCTATGACGCAGCAAGACACCTGTCTATGAAGAGCGCTGTGTTCAATAGTTCAATGACAACAATATCTTTTATTTGAATAAAAAACGTTCACAACGTGTATAAGAAGAAATGACATCAAGTGAATCATTTCCAGCAAGATATCATTGGTAAGATCTTTAAATGAACCAGCTTGCAAGCCACACGTGAGCTCAAGGACCCTCGAGACCAGATGGCTTGCCAAACGTGTTACCACACGTGACGTCTTCTTCAAGGTAAAGGTGTGGTGAAGTCATTGGCTGAAACCTTCCACCGACGTCACTGCATGAAACAGACTGTAAAAACATAGTGTAAACACATATGGTAATAGCAATGAAATGTATTTGTTTGAATCTTTGTTTAGCTGCATGGACTGGCGCTGTCTTTGTTAAGATTTCCGTCAACGTTACGACCTGTCTTTGTGGTATGAAATGAAACCATAATATTTGGTGAGGAGGATCTCTGTGTGTGTGGCGGGGTGGTTGAGGTGTGGTTAGCGATGTGTGTAACAGTTTACGCAGTAAGCATAAAAGCATGTGTAGATTTTTACTTAAGTTATGCTTGTTACAGAATTTAAAAAAAAATAATAATAGTTCTTTGAATCATTTCAAGAAGGTCATGAAAGAAAAAAACTACCAACATGGTCTTCAGGAGTTTTGAAAGCTGATGATGAGTTGGATCACTTCGACCTGAATTTCTGGCTTTTTTTTTTATTGTTTTTATTGTTTTTTTGTTTTTTTTATTGTTTTTTTTTTTTTTTTTTTTTTGTTTTTTTTTTTTTTTTTTTTTTTTTTTTTTTTTTTTTTTTATTTTTTTTTTTTTTTTTTTACTTTTGTGTATTGTATTTTTATAAATAAATACTCATTACCAAAAAACAACCTAATTCTTGTTTAGTCCGATGCATACTGGCCAGTGATTAGACCTCTGTCTCCAATAATTACTTTATCTGCATTGTAAATGGAAAAATATCTGAAATTGGAAGGGGAAAAACAATATTTTTATAGCAATTAGAAATTATTTTTGAACAAAGTTGTAGTTTGATTAATGTGATTAAATTTATCAACTAAAGGATCGCAACTTTCTGTGCCAAAATGCAAACAAGGTTACTGTCTGATCAAGTGGACATGGTCCTGCAAGCCATATGTGCAGTATTTTCAATGATGCATTCAATCTGAGAAGTGCATCTTTATCAGTAAGACTACGTCTATTTCAGTTCTATCCCCACAGCAAGCTGGGTTGTTGGTTTTGTTGTTGATGTTGTTCCATGGCACTCTAGCAACTGTCTTTCGACTTCCGTGGCTGAGGGTTGTCCCCACAAAATTACTGCTGCTTAATTAAATAGGCTAAAGCAGGGGCGCTTAATTTTTTTTGTTAAAACATGGATATCGGTTCACTATCCCCCAGGCAGCGCCGGGGAAAGGGCAGCGCCGGGGCAAGGGCAGCGCCGGGGCAAGGGCAGCGCCGGGGCAAGGGCAGCGCCGGGGTAAGGGCAGCGACGGGGCAAGGGCAGCTCCGGGGCAAGGGCAGCGCCGGGGTAAGGGCAGCGACGGGGAAGGGCAGCGACGGGGCAAGGGCAGCGCCGGGGTAAGGGCAGCGACGGGGCAAGGACAGCGCCGGGGCAAGACTTTAAGCCGGGGCAAGGGCAGCGACGGGGCAAGGGCAGCGCCGGGGCAAGGGCAGCGCCGGGGTAAGGGCAGCGACGGGGAAGGGCAGCGACGGGGCAAGGGCAGCGCCGGGGTAAGGGCAGCGACGGGGCAAGGACAGCGCCGGGGCAAGACTTTAGTTTGAAAAAAATATGCCAGCTGAACATATCTTTTTTTGTATTTTGTTTTTAACAGTAAGGGGGAAAATTAGTTAAAATGAAGAACAATTTTAATCAGCTTAAACTTATTTTTATTTCATTAGAAGTACGAGACTGCATTTGGCTGATGAGATTTTCTATATTTGGTGGGGCAGGCTAAGAAGCTCTTGCGTGCCGGGGTCTGGCTCGCCGGTCGTAGTTTGAGGACCCCTTTCTGCCCATACGTCCATTGTACTGCTTCTTTTTTTCTTGTTCGCTTTTAATTTTTATTTTGCTTTAGCAGTATCAATAGTTTACATATTTTTAATAATTGTAAAGCGCTTAGAGCTGTAAGGTGAGCGCTATACAAAAAATGCCTAAATAATAATAATACTAATAATTACCGTATTTTCTTTTTAATATTCCATTGTGACCAACTTACTTGTTGATGATGTGTCTTTGAGAGTCCGACTCTTGAGTTTCTGTCGTGTTAAAAGTCTTACTCGACGTGCCTACAATGTGCCTCTCGATGCGCTCATCCCCACTTGGTGGTGCCAACGATTCCCTAAGGATGCACGTGGCAGGTGATATGAGAGGGGAACAGTTCAGACACGTCACAATAAACCTAACCAAAAAATACCTTCAAAACTATTTTTTCTCTCCTTTTTTTGTAAAGTCTCAGTTTAATGCTCAGTTCACACGGTCAGATTTTCCTCAAATTTTGGTCCTATTCCTTTTTCTGAACGCACCATTTTGTGTTACAACACAGTGCAATGAAAAAGAAGTTTGACCAAAATTTGACCAAAATTGAACTGAGCATAGTTGCAGTGTTTCGAGCAAAAAACAAACAAACCGTACGTCCCAAACGGGCATGATTGTGGAGTACCGTCCCAGAGGGGCGTGATTGTGGAGTACCGTCCCAGATGGGCGTGATTGTGGAGTACCGTCCCAGAGGGGCGTGATTGTGGAGTAGCGTCCCAGAGGGGCGTGATTGTGGAGTACCGTCCCAGAGGGGCGTGATTGTGGAGTACCGTCCCAGAGGGGCGTGATTGTGGAGTACCGTCCCAGAGGGGCGTGATTGTGGAGTACCGTCCCAGACGGGCGTGATTGTGGAGTACCGTCCCAAACGGGCGTGATTGTGGAGTACCGTCCCAGACGGGCGTGATTGTGGAGTACCGTCCTAGAGGGGCGTGATTGTGGAGTACCGTCCCAGATGGATGTGATTGTGGAGAGTGATTGTGGAGTACCGTTTCAGACGGGCGTGATTGTGGAGTACCGTCCCAGACGGGCGTGATTGTGGAGTACCGTCCCAGGGGGTGTGATTGTGGAGTACCGTCCCAGGCGGGCGTGATTGTGGAGTACCGTCCCAATCGGGCGTGATTGTGGAGTACCGTCCCAGATGGGCGTGATTGTGAAGTACCGTCCCAGATGGGCGTGATTGCGAAGTACCGTCCACACCCATCTCGTGAGAGACCCAGCGGCGTGCTAGAGGCGGTTTGATCCAGCCCGGACTAATAGGTTCATAATTATGGACAATTTTACCAAACGTTTAAAAAAATATCAAAATAACAATGCTAATAAACAAATAGTTCTTTTTTATTTTTAAAGCACCAAACCGGATGTTGCTTGTCGGGCGACACACCACTGGATACGCCAGCGTAATCTCTACGGCCAATGAATCGTGTGCATTCTATTAGACGGAGCCGACACCGTCAATAAAAGAAGCTACAAAAATAAAATTCAGGCACGGTGGTTTCAAATTCAGTTTCTAAAATACCATTTCATCAAATCCTGGTAATAAGACAGGAATCTTTAATCAAATCATTTCCGTTCATTTGATGTTCATTTTATGGGTTGCTTGAGCAGTGAATATTAAAACTTCTTCTTAGCATCATGCAATGTACTTTGCTTTCTTAGCATAATGCAATGTACTTTGCTTTCTTAGCATCATGCAATGTACTTTGCTTTCTTAGCATCATGCAATGTACTTTGCTTTCTTAGCATCATGCATACATGAAACGAAAGAATCGTAGTACGTTACATGAAACCTTTCTTAGCATCATGCAATGTACTTTGCTTTCTTAGCATCATGCAATGTACTTTGCTTTCTTAGCATCATGCAATGTACTTTGCTTTCATTAATCGAATTGTGCTTGCCACGAGAGAAAGGTGCGTGTCACAGTCAGCACTATGATAGCTGCGGGTGGGAGGTGCATTGGCCAGCTCCACGCATCGGGTGATGACGAGGTCTGGTTGATGCTAGTGACGGGAATGTAGGTGTCGCCATGAAACCTCATGGTTTTTTTGTTTGTTTGTTTTTTTGTTGTTGTTTTTTTGCACTTGAAAACGGTGTCGGTAACACAGAGATCATGGGAGCAGCACAACTCCAGCAGTCGCTGTCGGTAACAAAGAGATCATGGGAGCAGCACAACTCCAGCAGTCGCTGTCGGTAACACAGAGATCATGTTTCGCAACATGGCAAGTAAGAACCGTTCGTCCTGGATTTGAAGCGGACCTAAAACCGACTGACGACGCCGCGAGACAGACTGCCGTTTGGGACAAGGAACGCGCCGGACTCAACGCTTACGTTGCCAGCCTCCTAGAGATCCGACTACCACCAGATACTGGTACCATTGACTGCCAGGCAAACCCCACAGATGAACCCTGGCAGCAAGGCATGAGACTCGCAATGAATCTCAAAGTTCTTTATCTATGCCGTTCCAGTTCCATGAAAAAGCCAACTCTGCAGCTGGTCGTAAATCCCACCTATCTGTAAAAAATATATATTTTTTTTAAACTGCCCCTGGTGTGGACCCCCCCCCCCGGTCGTCCGCCACTGGTTGAGCCTAATCGAACAACACTTATGCCAAGTTTGAAGTCATTACAACATATTCTTGACATGGACACGTCACAACTGTAGACAGAGACACAAATGGTTTACCCTTTGTTCTGGAGAACGCTGTCAAACAAACTTGTTGTTAATGGTCTCGGGTTAACTTCTTCTTTCAAACCCGCAGTCAGAGCATGGGAATCTAGGAAAAAACAAAGTCAGGGCATGGTATTCTAGAGAGGAAACAGAGTCAGGGCATGAGATTCTAGAGAGGAAACAGAGTCAGGGCATGGGATTCTAGAGAGGAAACAGAGTCAGAGCATGGGAATCTAGGAAAAAACTAAGTCATGACAAGGGATTCTAGAGAGGAAACAGAGTCAGTTCATGGGATTCTAGAGAGGAAACAGAGTCAGGGCATGGTATTCTAGAGAGGAAACAGAGTCAGGGCATGGGATTCTAGTGAGGAAACAGAGTCAGGGCATGGGATTCTAGAGAGGAAACAGAGTCTGGGCATGGTATTCTAAAGAGGAAACAGAGTCAGGGCATGGGATTCTAGAGAGGAAACAGAGTCAGGGCATGGTATTCTAAAGAGGAAACAGAGTCAGGGCATGGTATTCTAGAGAGGAAACATAGTCAGGGCATGGGATTCTAGAGAGGAAACAGAGTCAGGGCATGGTATACTATGAAAAAAACAACAGCAGAGCTTGGAAAGGGACAAACAAAGTCAGGACATGGGATTCTAGAAACAAACAAAGTCAGGGCATAGGATTCTAGAATAAAAAAAGACAAGGCATGGGACTCTAGAAGAGACAAAGTCAGGGCATAGGATTCTAGAATAAACAAAGACAAGGCATGGGACTCCAGAAGAGACAAAGTCAGGGCATAGGATTCTAGAATAAACAAAGACAAGGCATGGGACTCCAGAAGAGACAAAGTCAGGGCATGGGATTCTAGAAACAAAAAGGAATGACGAACATATAAAATATTGTCTTTATTTTTGAACACTCAGTATTTACATGTTAGGTGTTTACAAAATGTGATTGTACTAAATGATACGCCCAGGAATGTAACTCTAACATTTCTGGTGCGTTTCGTCCATGTCAAACTTTCTTATCATTCAATAGATGTATACCTTATTTTCAGAACATCTAAGTTCAAGGATTCACTTGAGAATTATTCATTAATTCAATGAACAGAAAAGACATTTTACGCCATTTTAAAAATCGTATATATATTTTTTTTAAATTCTTTTATAAATCATAATACATGTTAAGAAATAATTAGGGTCCTACCTGCTTCCAGTTTTTGTCCAGTCTGTTTTTCAATCATCTCGACGATATCTGAGTGTCTGCGTTGAAAGGCTGCAGCCATGGCTTGTTGAATAACCTCATTGCTGTGTGCGTCCTTGACCTCTAGAAGAGTCCTCACAGCCTGGCGATGTCCATTTTCTGCACTCAAAACAAGGGCTGTCTTCCCGTTCTTATCCTTTCTATTAATATCTGACCTAGATTTTAACAGTGTTTGAATGACCAGGTGATGTCCTAAGGTAGAAGCAGACAACAGCGGCGTGTCACCGTTAGAGTTGGCCTTCTCAATATCCGCCTTTGCTTCCAGTAGATCATCCACAATGCTCTTATGTCCCAAAGATGCACTGATATTTAGGGCTGTGTCCCCATTTTTGTTCGTGGCATTCACATCACACTTGGCCTTGATGAGATTTTTTACTATTTCTGTTCGACCTCTTCTTGCTGCGATGATGAGAACAGTGTCTCCTTTCTCATGTTCTCTGAGCTCTAATGTATTTTTAGCTCCATCATCTTGGAGAAGATACAACACAATCTCTGTGTACCCGTTGTTAGAGCTCAACATTAAAGGTGTATAACCCACATTGTTCTGTACTGTTGCATCAGCGTTGTATTCTAAAAGCAAACGAACGGCATCCTTATGGCCGTTAGCTGAGCAGATATGAATGGCAGAGACTCCCTTTGTATCACTTGGTGTGGTTTTGGCCCCTTTCTCCAGCAATAATTTCATGCACTCTGTTTTGCCATACTGCGTACAGAACATGAGAGGAGTCCAGCCACCCTCCCCACACTGATTTACGCTAGCTCCACTGTCAATTAAAAGAGTGACAGTCTGAGAATCCCCGTTGTGGGCTGCCATCATCAAGACCGTCATTCCCTTGTTGTTCACAACAGAGATGTCAGCCTTCCTATCAATCAGAGCTTTGGTGATGAGATAGTTGCCTTTCAAGGCCGCCATGTGAAGCGGGAAATCCCCGTCCGCATCACGTTTGTTGACAACCGCATGTGCTTGCAGTAAGAGATCAACAACCTCGGCATGCCCCTCATGTATGCTCACATGGAGAGGAGTTTGGCCTTTGCAAGTCTCGCTGTTGACCACAGCCCCTTTTGATAAAAGAATTCGAACGTTTCTCGCACGCCCTTTTAAAGAAGCCACAAATAGAGGGGATCCGCCATCTTTGTCTTTTTCGTTGACCGAAGCACCACGCTTGATTAAAGCTTCCAGGATGTCAGCATAACCATGCCCAGCACTTATAGTAAGGGCGGTAACCCCAGCCCTTGCTCGAGTATTGGGGTTACCCATATGGTCAAGAAGTATCAGAGCCGTGTTTGTATGTCCGAACTGAGAGGCCACCATGAGCGAGTCCCAACCTTTCATATCTACGGCGTCCACGTTCGCTCCAGCTTTCAAAAGACATTGCACTACATCGCCATGGCCACCGTAGGAAGCATGGATCAAAGGTGTCCTACCCTTGACGTTACACACATTCACCTCAGCCTCTTTCTCTAGCAAAGCCCTAACGATGCTAATGTCCCCTTTAAATGAAGCTAGATGCAAGGGGGTGTCACCATCATTATCGCACGCCTTCACGTCAACTCCTCTGCCAATCAGATACAATGAAGCGTCCACGTGACCATTAAAGGCACTTGGACAGAGGGCAGTTTGACCTCCTGGGCCAAGTGCATTCACAACAGCCCCAGCCTCTAACAGCTGATGCAATATTTCTGTGTTCCCATTAAACGCCGCGAGATGTAAAAGTGTGATGCCGTGTTTTCCTCGCATGTTAACCCTAGGATAGGGTTTCTCTTGGTTGGACAAAAGCAGTTTCACGACGCGTTTCCGGCCGTGCATCACGGCAAAGGTCAAGGCCGTGTTGTTTTCTAAGCTAACCTGCAAGTCGTTAGCACCGGCTGCCAGCAATAGTTCAACCACATGTTCGTGGCCATTTTGAGCAGCGCACATCAAGGGCGTATCTCCATCAGTGTCAGTTATATTGGGGTCAGCCCCCTCTTTTAAAAGGCATTCGACGATCGTTGAGTTCCCTACAAGAGCACTGATAAAAAGTGGTGTCCTTCCATCTTTGCCTGCCATGTTCACAGACGCTCCGTGTTTGATCAGCTTTTGCACCGATAGAACTTGCCCCGTTGCCGTGGCAACTATCAACGCCGTATGTCCCATTTTATCAGTGTGGTCAACTTCCGCTCCGCACTTTAGTAAAACCTTTAACGTGTTCAGATTCCCATGACCTGCAGCTATGTCGAGGGCAGTTCCGCCACTTATCTGTTCAGCATTGACGTCGGCACCCTTTTCAATGAGAGCTTCTGCGCCTTCATAGTTATCATTCTGTGCACAAGCCATCAGCGGTGTCCATTGTCGTATGTCCTTGGTGTTGACATCGGCTCCCTTTCTTATCAGTAGCTTCAGTAGCCCACCGCCTTCTTCATTCGCAGCCAGGATCAGCGCATCATCCCCGTCTTTATCCTTGTTTGTCACCACCGCCCCACGGTCCAGCAGGTCTCGCACGACGCCTTCATGATTGTAGAAAATAGCAAACTGAAGAGCGTTAATTCCATCATACGTTTCTACGTTAATGTCCGAGACTTTGCTGGCGATGATTTCTACAATGTCCTCCCTGCCTGAAGCCGCCGCCAGGTGCAGTGCGGTCTGTCCGGAACTTGACCTTGCATCTGCATTTGCCCCTTCGTCCAAAAGTTTTTTCACGAGATCCTTTCGTCCCATCGCGGCGCACACCATGAGGGGCGTGGTGTCCAAGTCAGGTATTGTGCCGTCGATCGACTCCACCTTTTCAAGAAGAAGTCTGTACAAGTCTTGGTCGCCGAGCAAAGAAAATTGCAATGAAGGATCTAGCATATTTTTCACAAAGTTAACTTTATCTTTTTTCATGGCTTTTTGATCATTTAAATTCCTTTTCATTTCTCTGAAATCTTGAGGACCTTTCAAATCACCCGCCTCCCCTTTTAGCCCCTCTCCTAGTTCTTCGACGGCCTCCCGCGCTGCACGTTCGAGTTCGTTTCCCATGTTCAGTTTTCCTGTCCCTTTTGTCCAGGCGTTTATCTGCCAGCACTGGGTACAAGAAAAATTGCTGTCAACGGATTATCGCAATCTTAGAATCGTTTTTTTTAAATTTTTATATTTTTTTAAATCGTGGGGTGTGTGTGTGGGGGGGGGGGAGGGGGAATTTAACACGAGTTAAAATTCTCCGGCAATAAATGCAGCCGAGACTGTCATTCCAGGATCCTCTTTAAGCCGTTTCATGAAGGGTCAATAGTTACTCCATAGTCTCGCGAAGACGGAAGGATGACATATATATATATATATGTGTGTGTGTGTGTGTGTGTATGTGTGTGTCTGTGTGGCAGTGTGAGAGTCTGTGTGTCAGTGTGAGAGTGTGTGTTTGGGTGTGTTTAGGTTGGTGTGTGGGTGGACGGTCCCTATTATTTCTTTTTTTACTTTACATGTATTATGGGATCTATGTAATTGCTTTCCGAAGATGCTATTTCCGAAGAGGCCATTTCCGAAGATCCCATAATGCTGGCGGGTAGGTTTAGTGAACATATTAAACAAACGAAGTCCTCCTGGGTATCATCACATTTTAACGGAGATGATCACAGGAACACATCAGATGTACCCATCACGGCTCTAATGTCCTGCACCAATACACCAGCGAGAGTGCAGAATGAAACAAATTAATTTAGATTTTTGGCACCATATCACGATAATGAATGAAGCAAATAATCTACTATTCGCAATCCTTAATTTCTCTCAATTTTTATTCTTTACTTTTGCTGTTTAAAATCTTACAATAACAATACTTATTTTTATTTTAACCGTGATAGTTCGCAACACAGAAAAACGTGGAACGTACGTTTAGATTTTGAACAACTTCACTTCCGTTTCTAGCTTCCTTTTCTGAACATTGAGCTACAATGACTTTATTGAGATCTTCCAAAACATAAGTTTTATTTTTTAATTAAAATGTATCTGTAGTTTACTATATTATATTCTCTGCTGAAGAAGGCATCTCGCCGAAACGTCTGCTTAATTGTCTTGTATTTTATTTTCAAGACTAAAAAATATCTTGCTTTGATTTAAATTTACTTAACTTTAAACGGCTTGATTGAACGCAGTCCGTCATGACTCATGTATTACCTTAAATAAAGATGGTATTTTCAATGATACAAGACTTGCACAATTTTTGTATAATTCTTAGATATCCGTTGTTTTCAGGGGGGGGGGGGAAGTAAATGTTACCAGTAACAGTTATTGCTATTATGTTTAGCCAAAAATTTTTATCTTGAATGTTAGTAAGTAAATCTTCACTTTTTATTCTTAAATGATACAAGACTTGCACAATAATATTATAATTCTTAGATCTCCGTTGTTTTCAGGGGGGGGGAGAAGTAAATGTTACCAGTAACAGTTATTGCTATTAGTATTAGCCAAAAATTTTTATCTTGAATGTTAGTAAGTAAATCTTCACTGTTTATTCTTATGTCATTACTGATTAAGTGAAGTGCAAACACTCATCAATAATATAATAATATATGGATCAGCATATCTGAAGCAGTCTGGGCTTCAAGATTTTTTATGGCAGTTAAACTCTCAATTTTAGGCTAAAATAAAAATGAAACAAATAAACTTTAAACCTACCCGTTTGTTGATAAACTCAATGGTCTGTCCTCTTCCCAGGTCCTTTAAAATAAATTAAGATATAAATGATACAAACTGAGCCAAAATAAAACGGAAATTCATATTATTAATCTATAGAAAAACAAATGGATTTTCCCGTTTTTTTTTTTCAAAGAAAGAGAGCGGTTTATCAATTTCCCGTTTTTAATTGGAAAAAAAAGGGAGATGGGGGTGTAAATTAAATTATTTCAAATTTTCCCCATACAACTGCGATCTTTCAGGAACATATACAGTTTCATAATAATCAAGAATTACCATAATTATGACTATGTTAAGTTACGTACTTTTGTTTGTGAAGTTATCAGACAAAACAGTTCATTACTTTTACCTTAACATTTGACTTAGTCAACTGTCTTTTTAAAAAATAAATTTTATTAATTTCTTTTTAACAGGAAACATATTTTTCATAAAACTTTTACATCTTTTTACAATTTAGTGTGATATTTATAACAATACCAGAGCAATGACAATAATTGATAATTCAAAAAGTTTTATTTAAAATGATGATAAAAGTATTTAGTTGCAACAAATGATAAGTACACTATTTTGTAAGGAGGATTTTGGGCTAATGGGGGTAAGCTGCTCATCTATGTGGTCATTGACAGTATGCCCATCACACCTCTACGTCATCAAAACCATGCGACATGGTTATAACATTAGTTTATTGACACACTATCTCTCAGTTGTTGAATTTCTCATGATTAAAATCATAAAAGTTAAAAGCAAATTTTAAAAAAATATATATTTTTTAAGTGTCAAAGATTGTTGAGATTTTAGGTTTTATTTCGTGTCATAAGATTTTTGAAAAATGTGTTATTGTTCTTTTGGATCGAGTAATTTTTGGTCAATATTTTTTTTACAGAATGTCCGTCAATTTACGGCTGTTTGGCAACGCTGTACGTAAAATTCAACAAACGACCCCCCCCCCCCCCCCACAAATCACTCTAACCAAATATATCAGCCCCGACCCACCCACACACACAAAGTAATATATCTCAAAATGATATGCAATAGGTTTACATTCCCTGTTAACTAGTGTTTCACATCTAACATTATAGCGAAATACACACACACATTTATGGGGATTTTCTAGAGACAAATGATAAACAGCGTTCTTGGTAGAGGAAATTTCCACACTCACAGTCAGCAAGATTGGGGTTTTTCCGATATCGCTTTGACTTCTCCAACTCTTTGTAAAAACTTCATTTAGAACATACATTTAAAATATGCAGGTAAGAATATACTGATTTCTGGATTCTCTTTTGTGTCAGCTTAATGCAAGCTAAGGTTAGACTAGTTAAAATTTTAACATGGCGTTGAGTTGAAAACATTGCATGCTACTGTTTCATTGTTCGAATTATTATTTTTTTTAAAAAATATTATGTAATATAAGTCTGCTCGAGTCTAATGGTACCCGGGTGCGAATGTCGGCGCTGCGTGTTCAAGTTTAGGTCCATTTTGACTCAGTGCTATTCGGATGTCATTTGTGGTAGTTTATTTTAGTTAAACTGAAGAATTAGGTTTACAAACATATAGTCCATTCAATTATCTTTCATTTGATACCTCATTTATTATTACAAACTTAACAATAAAATTTTATATCGTTTTTTAATCCCAACCTCTCACTTCTGGTACCCGGGCACCAATAGCCACTTCGGTAGGATACAGGATATATATCCCATACCAGAGTGTGCCTCTTTGGCTTTGTGTGTTAACTCGAAGAATCTACAAAAAAAAAAATTTGTAAAATAAAAACAGAAAAGGTCATTGATTTTTTAAAAAGCTTGAAATTCTTTGAAATGTTTTATGTTGGAAATTCCATTATGTCTTTAAATATTTGAAGAATTGATGATGTCATCTTCTATTTTTAGACAATTTGTCCTGACAATCGTGTTGTCGCTAGATTTTGATAAATAAGAAATACAAACAGAATTAAATAAACTGTTTTTTTTTTCTAACTTGCTACATAATCCACTGATATAATGGTCCCAGGGGCGTCTTAAAAGCAGGGGCGATCCTGGGCAGAGGAATGCATTGAGGCCTCCCTGTTCAGTAGCGTGGGGAGGGTGAGGCGGAAGGGGAGGTCTGTCATCGCCAAAATTAGGCAGAATGTCGTCTGGGGCCAGCACTGACACCATACACAAATAGACACTGGTCTATAGTTGTGGTCCGGAGGTCAATGCCCGCAAACTAACTCTGAATTCAAACCAGGAGCCAAAATTATATGAAAAAAAAATTATAAAAAAGTCATGTTGAAAAAGCATGTTCAACAGCACCGACAATGCACTTTTGGGCATACGAAATGACCACCTGCTTCTTAACTAAAGAAGGATTCAAAAAGGGTTTTTTCAGGGGGGGGGGGGCAAAACAAAACTTGCTTATGTGGAGGCGCCACATTACATAGCAATTGAAACAAAAACCTGTGCTACTAAAATGATGTCACTGATACCCATTGTTACGCTTGAGCAAACCTGGCTACGCCTTGGGAAAATGAGAGCAGCTAGAAACAGCTTTACTAACAATAATCATAGTCATATCACAAACAATGATATTTAGCCTTTAAGAACCTTTCAGTTGATTCTGCTATATAAAAGTTAAGTGCAAAGTCTTTTTAACATGTTGATTAACAAGCTAAAGATGTAATGAAATGGTTTTCCCACAATTGTGTGTCATTAAAATAGATCAGCACAAAGTCAAACGTATTTATACATTTATTTCTTTTTTACAATTCCTTTTTGTGTGTGTGTGTGGGGGGGGGGTGTTAGAAAATGTTGACATAATTAAATAAGGGGGGGGGAGTCCATTTGACAGTTGTTTACAAGGGCGGGGGGGGGGAAAAAATAATTGCTTAAAACTTGTAGCACTTACGATCTAGTCCATTTGAAAGTTGTGGACAAGGGCGGGGGGGAGTAAAAAATAATTGCTTAAAACTTGTTGACGTAATTAAAGGACGACTCCACGATAACAAAAGCACCCAATGCTGTTTTTTGGATAAGAAGGTGGCGGTACTGTCTCTTGGGTCGGAGAGGGAGGACTAAATCAAAGGCTCCCGAAGGAAACGTCAGGTTGGTTTTGTGGAGGCGGCTCGATGAGCAGTTTGAGAAATTTTTTGATTTTTTTTTTTGTTATGTTAAAAAAAAACCCTTTGGTAAGCCTGCCTTCTACTGCAATTTGAAAGCAAATGAACCCCTTACCTTAAAACATGAGACCCCTCGGCAACTTTCCAGTGTGCCCATGCCTTAAGAGCCCGCATGAACGTCCTGCATAAAATTATAATACTACTACAGGACACTCTTGAACACTTTAAACATAGTAAATATATACATTTAAAATATTTTTAAAAAAAACACCCATGAAATGATCCAAAATTTAAGA